TATCTATCTGTCTGTCCGTCCGTCTGTCGTTCTATCTATCTGTCTGTCTGTCTGTCGTTCTATCTGTCTGTCTGTCCGTCTGTCCGTCGTTCTGTCTATCTGTCTGTCCGTCCGTCTGTCGTTCTATCTATCTGTCTGTCTGTCTGTCGTTCTATCTGTCTGTCTGTCCGTCCGTCCATCGTTCTATCTGTCTGTCCGTCCGTCCGTCCGTCGTTCTGTCTGTCCGTCCGTCGTTCTATCTATCTGTCTGTCCGTCCGTCTGTCGTTCTATCATTCTATCTATCATTCTATCTATCTGTTGTTCTATCATATCTATTATATTTATCTCTTCATCCATTCATCCATCTTTCCGTCTGATCTTTCAGTGGAATTCTCATGGATATGACATCGCTAAGGTGTTTGGTCCGAAGCTGACGTCGGTGTCTCCAGTGTGGCTTCAGCTCAGACGGAGGGGACCAGAGAGCTTCCACATCACCGGTCTTCATGACCATGATCCCGGTCTGATCACTTCCCTTCCTTCGTAAGACAATGATGCTTTATGAAGAAAAAAGCCAAATGATTTTCTTTAAGCACTAACGATGCTCGTCTTTTCACAGGTTGGGTCAAAGCCGTGAGGAAGGCCAATAAAAAAAACAAAATACGTGAGTATGGATTTAATGTCATTGTGGAAGACACAAGGTTAATCTAGCTGAAAGCGTCAGGTTCTCAGTGTGGTTTCTCTCTCAGTTCCTCGGCTGTTGTTTGACGGATGGTCCTATCAGGACTACATGAGCGTTCTGGACAGCGAGGATGAGATGGAGGAGCTGGGTCGAGAGGCGCTGGAAGTGGCAAAGGTGCTGTATCTACATGCTGTGTTCACGTCACGTTGGGATAATAATTTTTACAGGATGGTTCCTGACTAGGATCCATATTCCACTTCATGGGACTTAGAGTGCTCAGGTTTTTGTTAGTTCCCAGTTTTGTTAGTTAATCAGTGTGATTTCACTTTTGTGTAACCAAAATATACATGTATGCTGGCTAATCTGCTCTGATGAACTTCATTTCATTTCCTCATCGCGAGAATCGTTGACTGACTGTGATTTTTCTCACTAGGCTGAAGGGTTTGATGGTTACACACTGGAGTTATGGAGTCAGCTTGGAGGAAATAAGAGAAAGTGAGTAAGAATATGTGTGTTGGTATTGTTTACTAGAACTGTTAAAAAATGTTTTTGATAATTGAAATAAAGCCGAAATAAAATATGAATATAAAACCTAAAAATCTTGGTTGGAAATGAGAAATATTGTCCTGGCAACTAACTGAAATAAGTATTAAAATAAGTAAAACATTAAAACTAAAACTGAAATAAAAAATTTATTAAACCTTTTTTTGTTGTTGTTTTATTCTTTCTTTCCTTGGTCTGTGTAAAACTCATCACAAAATAATGACGTATTTCATTCATATTATGTTGTGAAA